CTAGATCTCGCTCGTCACTCTCCCAAATCTCGCTCGCTCACTCGCCTCTCTCACTTTATACAATTGATCTTTTTGTATATGTATACCAAAGCAGATTATACAACTGCTTTCTTTTTTATATGTATAGCGAAATATACATATTTATGTTTGTTATGGAGCGCAATTATGCAAACTTTGTTATAGCATACAAATATGAATTTTGTGTTTGCTATATATGAAAATTGCTCATTTTAAATACTTATAAATTTGTTTTACCTATTATATCCTTAATTACTACTACTTTAAAAAAGGTAAAAAAATTAAGTTACCAAGTTCAAAAAAAAAAAAAGGTAAAAAAATTTGAAAATTTTAAGTTTTTTATTTATCTATTTCATAATTAATTGGGGTAAAATGATAATTCACTAAGTCAATTATTGTTTTTTTAATAAATATGACAATTCAAAAGTGGACAAATAATTTGTGACAGCCGAAGTATCCACTTTCGATATTATTATTAGGAGAAAAGGGTCAAAAATACCCCTCAACTTTCATTTATTAATTGACTTAACCCTTACCGTTAAAATAAAGTTATTCTTATCATCACCCATCTATAAACATACCAGTCGTGCACCTCAATTGAATGGAAAACCTCAATTCAATAAAAATAAGTCAATTTTAATTAAATTACTTAATTTAAACTCAATCCGACCCACCTAATCGTATAACCCACTATTCTTTATCTTCATCTGTAGACAATTCCAATAGAGTAATTGTTGCTGGTGAAACTGATGCTAAACACGTCGGAGCTCCGGCCACGGTATCAAAATCAATGTCAAAAGGTTCTTAGCGATGAAATGTACCCCACTGTCACAAAAGCCTCATCTGAATCTGGTCAGTGTTCCTAGAATTTAGGAAGTAAGGTTCAAAATCGTTAAAAATAGGGAAAATTCAGACAAGGAAGTTAGATTAAGGAGACTCGAAATTACCAAGCTCAATTGATCCATGATGAAGCTGGGAATTCTTCTCCTCAACAAAATTCAAAAGATGAAGCTGGGAATTCTTCTCCTCAACAAAATTCAAAAGATGAAGCTGGGAATTCTTCTCCTCAACAAAATTCAAAAGATGAAGCTGGGAATTCTTCTCCTCAACAAAATTCAAAAGATGAAGCTGGGAATTCTTCTCCTCAACAAAATTCAAAAGATGAAGCTGGGAATTCTTCTCCTCAACAAAATTCAAAAGATGAAGCTGGGAATTCTTCTCCTCAACAAAATTCAAAAGATGAAGCATTCAGCCCCTTGTTGGCCGGAAAAAATGGTAATTGCCGTCATTGCACTGCCATTGGTCGATTTTCACTCCCATCATTTAAGGAGCAATTACAACGGTTAGAGGCAAAATTTGACTACTTCTTAAACTGTATAACAAAGGAAACTAAGAGCCCGTTTGGATTGACTTAAAAAAAGTA